AGAGCTTCCCGCCATATCCCTCGCGCGCATGGTCAGGGAATAGAGTACCGAAGTGATGACGTCACGGTGGCATGACAACGAGCCTGCTGGTTCTACACAATCATATGCTCTGGTAACATTAACTGCGTGTCGTGTTTTGTACCCGATTGTAACCATCATTCTGAGAGTCATTATTGCAGTTTTTATAGATTTCCAAAGGATGGAAGCGAAAAGCAACATTTTTTTTTTTTTTAATTAATTAAATATTGTATGATCGACTTGCTACCGATGCTTTACTGCTATCTGCAGCGCACACACTCGTGTTTTACGTACGCACAACATTTTCACGCAGTTAATGTTATGGAGCCAGTGGGTTGTGTAGAACCAGCGGGTTCGTTGTCATGCCACCGTGACGTCACACTTCGGTACTCTATATATGTGTCTGCATACGCGTGTCTGCCTGTGTGTGTGTGTGTGTGTGACTGTGTGTGCATTTTTTCATATGAGCATTTGTGTTCATGTGTATGAGTGTATGATTAGTGTGTTCATTTGAATCAGGATTTGGTCCACCGATTGCCACTGTACAAGCAGAAAGCTGACTCACCACAGCCGGCCAAGGTTGCGACGCGTGAAATTGAATTGCGTACCCCTCCTGAATTGCAAAGCAGCAACCAAAAGAATGGGTAGGTTTCTGAAATCATGATTAAGCTGGTACGCAATTCCAATACAAGTCTTTACATTACAAGTCGTAGTATAAGTCTATGTGCAAGTGTGTAAATGTGTAAGTTTAAGTGTAAGGTGAGTGGCACAGCATGCAGTTTGATTGTTGTGTCAGTTTTCCTAGCAGAGGTGTGCCTGATGCCATTGCTAAGAATTTATTGCGATCGTCAATTCACAACTCTCTCCGTCATTTCACGAAACACCAACAGGGTCGTGTCGAGGTCGGCGGAGAATCCTTTCATAACCAAGCCAAAGCTCGGCCGAGATGAGGAGGAGCTTAACTTGCTTTCAACTTACCCTCCTAAGAAAATCAGCCACCAAGAGGCTAGCGTGGATGCTGGTAAGCACCTTATAGTAGTCGTAATCGAGTAGAATCCTTGCATGCTGTTTCCCCCGAGTCAGTCACAGTCTTTCGTATATAGTTGAATTTCCACTGCACAGCTTCTGATGGGCTCCAGTGGCCATGTTGTATTCGTCACAACAGAGTGGACGTTTCGTATGTCATTAATGGTAACTATAATCGCTTATATCTAGATAACTATGGTGGCAGTGCAGCGTCAAAAAAGAGAATGGCATCGGCTGGTGCAGATTCACATTCACAATTAAAAAGTATGTCACGGTTGCCAAAAGGTTTGGCTTGTTTTGGCTTGTGAAAGTGTGCATGACGCTCTGTTGGTAATTTTGTCGAAATGAGCTTTCAGGTTGAGAGCGATAACATGTATGTGTTGCTATTATTTCCGATCGCTCTGGTTTCTCTTGGCTTACTGTGAGTACGTGGGGTGAGTGTTTGTGAGTGCGTGCGTGCGTGCGTGCGTGTCTGTGAGCAGTATGTATGTGTGTGTGTCTGTGTGGATTCAAGACCTTTCCCATTTTCTCTTGTCAGATACAATTGTGCAAGATAAAAGTGTATCCTCAACTTCCCTGGCACTGCTTTTCCGATCCCCTCCTCCTGAGTCGAGCCTGCCAGTTCCTGCTGGCCCTCACCTGACTGTTGACTGTACTGGTCCTGCACTATCCTCATTCGAGCAGTGGAATAAAGAAAGCGCACAGCACAGAAATCAGCAGGACTTCACTAACCGTTGCGCGCCAGCCGTCGTCAACGTAGAAAATGTCGGCGACGAAACCGGCGGCGACATATCGGTCACAGTGGAAGTTACGCCCATTGAGAATGCCTCGCTATTAAAGGAACGACCGATCGGCGAAGCGGACGACCCAACATCCGTCAGCATCGACTTTCGCACGGACGTCGACCGTACGAACTCGCCGCGCGTCGACAAATCTAGCCAGCCACCGAGAAATGCGTCAGACCGTCAGATGGAATCTCTCCCAGCGGCGCGATACAGTAGCTTAAATTCGGACGACAGCGAGGACGGGGTTCGAAACGCGGTGGCGGAGACGCGGTCGGCTCGAGTCACGTCCGCGCCGGCCGTCATGGCCGCCGCCGCGCGTCGCAAGGTGACCTTTCACGAGAAGGAAGGCCGCGCGCAGACCGCCCGGACCGCGTCGGCTCCCGGGCAGCCACGGATCCTAGAGAATCCGATCTCCCCCGAGGTCGTCATGATGCGCCGGAGGTCGCTCGGCATGATCGCGGAAGAGAGTGCGGCGTCTCGCTCGCGTTTCAGATGCGCTGTCTCCGTCGTCGCGGGTATCGGAGCGGTCGGAGGGCCGGAAGAGACGTCGCGAGGCGGCGAGGCGGAAGAAAGTCGGAGCGGCGAGACGAAGACTCGCAAGTCGGCGACGTCGAGTTCGAAGAAAATGCGGAAGGAGAGAATCGTAGAGGGGGAGTTCACCATGAAGGAGGCCGAGAGTTCGCATGTATCTCCTAGATCCCTGCCACCCCTGTCTTCTGCCTCGCCTGTCCTGCAGAGCACATGCACTTTCTCTGTCCCCAACACCGGATCCCCACTGAACACTGTCCTCTATGGTAAGCTCTCATGTGATCCATCGCCACAGCATTATAAACGATTGTTTTTACAAGGGAATGATAGCGAATACTTGGGGTGCGGTTGAATTCAGTGTGTTTGAGAGAAAGATACTAGGTGTGTGGTTGAATTCAGTGTGTTTGAGAGAATGATAGTGAATACTAGGTGTGTGGTTGAATTCAGTGTGTTTGAGAGAATGATAGTGAATACTAGGTGTGTGGTTGAATTCAGTGTGTTTGAGAGAATGATAGTGAATACTAGGTGTGTGGTTGAATTCAGTGTGTTTGAGAGAATGATAGCGAATACTTGGGGTGCGGTTGAATTCAGTGTGTTTGAGAGAAAGATAGTGAATACTAGGTGTGTGGTTGAATTCAGTGTGTTTGAGAGAATGATAGTGAATACTAGGTATGGTTGAATTCAGTGTGTTTGAATGCTACTGAGTGGAAGTTTTCAAGCTTTGCAAAACATATAATAGTATTGTCTACTCTGTTTGTCCTTTTTTCTGCTGTGTCTGTCTTTTATAATTATATGTACATGTATAGACGCGCATGCATCTTCGTCTGTGGCGTATTCGTAAACACTGAGGTGGAGTGACAGTAAGACACATGATTGCTCTCTCTGGGGCTTCACCCTATAATAGATATCTGCTCTAATGAAGCAGTGTGACTGCAGGCTAAGGAAGACACTTAGCAACTAGGGTGCCGGGGAAAATTAAAGCCATTGTGTGGGAAACGACCGAGTGTCAGAATACGGACGGGTGGCGGGATAGAAAAGCGCTAATTGTCATTTGTTTGTGTGTTGTTGCAGAAGCTCCAACTCATTCTGAAGTCAATAAGAAAAAAGATCCTGACGAGGTAAGCGTATAGCCAGGAGTAAATAATCACAAATAATTTTAATTTTTTAATTAATTAATTATTTAATGTTAATGATTGTTTATAATTTGTGATTATTTGCTCCTGCTATAACTGGGTTGCTTAGGTCACGTTGACATGACAGTTTGCATTCTGCCTCACAATGCTGTAAAGGTGTTCTGTAAATATTGAGTGAGTGTATTAGTGATAACCAGAATCAGTACAATTTTTTCGCCTCCGAAACAGTGCCCTACGCTTTTTGATAATAAGTCAACATCCCACTTGTTGCATAAGTGACGGTTGTATGGTGACTGTTATAGCTAAAAACACAAACTGCATGTAGTATTGCATTAGTTAGTTACACATAGAGATCCTCTGCAAATGTTTCTGCTAATATATTAAGTGATCAGTTGCTGTCACGGAGTAACTAATGAAAATATTGTTTATTGTTTTAGTATCTCATGCTTATGTTGTTAAACATGTTTCCATTTGTTGCCTGATTTACCGTTCTAGCACGCCTAATATATTTAGGTTTTAGCTATCACAGTGTGCTGTAAAAGCCTTATTCCAGAAACCTCTGAAGAATTGTGCACCACTAGAATGCTGCTTTTAGTATTACGGAGAAGGCAACTTATATAACAGTGTACAAAACTATTAAACCACAATTGGCTTATGTGTCTAAATTGATTATGATGTCTGCTGTCTCCTGCATAACCAATAAGACCAAGTGAGGCTGAGAGGGTCTATGTCTCCCTGGGTACTGCCGGAATATACCCTGGGTACGGTCCGGTATACCGATAAGACCAAGTGAGGAGTGTGTGGATAGTGTGAGATGTCACCAGTAGATGTCGCTGGCAGTACATGCCTATTGCTGGATCACCCCAAAACAAATTGTGATGCCATAGGCATAGATACTAACCTGATCACAAACCATGGGAACAGAATCAAGAATCATTCTGTTTCGTGATTATGCTATGCACACTAGCGACCATGCGTGCGCACAATAGCTGAGCTTTGAAACTGCATTTCATGCAGAGATACTGAAACAAACGCCAATAATGGCTTATTGCCAGTTGGCCATGAAAGGCAAATGATATAATTGGGGCTTAATATAATTATTGCAAATTTCTCTTAATTTATATTGATTAGTTGTGCGTGTGCGTTTAAATTTTTATAATTATGCTAACGAATTTTCCTGTTTCAAAATGTTAAACAATATAATAAGTAGCCCACTGTTTCAATACCACAGAACTACGGGGACAGTATCGTTGACAGGCCAACTGACTGTACAAACTGGTTATTGTCACGATCGAAATTTCCCCCATTTCTCTACAGGTTAGCCATCTTTCGCAGTCGGCAAAGGAGAAGATCATCAGCAAGCAGTCGTCGGTAGAGAACATATCCGAGCAGCGCGACCTCGCTCGACAGCGCCACTTAAAGGCGCAGGAGGAGAAACGCAAGCAGCGAGAGCAGCGGCAGTCGGAAGTCGCTGATCCGCCATATTCAAAAGAAGCCGGTGAGCTTGTCGTTGTTTACGTTTATGTTTATGTTTATGTTTATGTTCGTTTTATGTTCGTCAAAGTAACGGTGTGTAAATTTTACGAATGTGCCGCATGTGATTCTTTTGCACAAACGAAAAGCTACTAAAAAGCTAACTAACAAAAGTGTAGAAATTGGTTGATGTCGTTATTGTCGTTGTTATTGTCGTTGTTGTTGTCGTTGTTGTTGTTGTTGTTGTTTTTGTTGATGTGCATTGTTGTTTGTCAAAGTAATGGCGCGTAAATTTTACGGATGTACCATATCCATATGTAATTTTTTTTTGTAAAAGAAAAGCTACATGTAGAAATTTGTCAATGCAACTGTTGTTGTCGCCAGTCGTGTTTTGAAAAATCAATAACCTTTACTGTGCATTATAACTCTTTATCATATGTTAATTAGTTCCTATAGTTTTCTTATTTCTATTATTTATTATATAATTTATTGTACAAAAACTCATTAGCGTATGTGAAGTGCCCTTGTTAACGCTTTCAATGTTTTGAGCAACTTTTGTGTTTAGATTTATTGGTTATGTCACGATGAACAGCATATGCAGCATTAAATAATTTAAACATTTACCACGTGTTTTGTTTAATTTCATTTAGTCCCAAACGATGTAAGCGGCAACTTATTGGAAGTGAAACCCGTCGTTGATGAGGTTGTTCCAGAAATGACTGAGTCCCCTCATAAGAAGCAAGTGAGAAGAACACCAGTAAAGGCTGCCACAAAGCCTCCAATAGGGCCAAAACAAGGAAAGACAAAAGAGTAAGTGCATGACGGATATATTGATTCTGGCATATATCAGCAGTTTATTTTTTTTACATCGGACGCTTCTGTGGAATAAGGGTGTAGAATTTATGACCAATGCAACAGTGCTGTAGAATGAACAATGTAACTAGGGTCTATTTGTCAGAAGCAAAACTAGTCTCATCAATCTTAACTTTTTCTTGTAGACCATTGACAGAAACAGTTACAAATTTCTCTTACGCAGTGCATAGAGGTCTAAATGTTAATGTTAAGACTAATGTTAGGAGTTATTTTGTTTCTGACAATGGGCCCATATTTATAGCATGACTAATGTGTTAAGTACTATTTATGTTAACTATGTGACAGTGTTGTGTAGAATGACCAATTTAAAAAGGCTGCCCAAACAGTTACCAATGTGACAATGCTGTAACAAACCTGTAAACATTGTGATAGGGCTGTGGCAGGATGATGATGTGATGATGACGATGATGATGATGATGATGATGATGATGATGATGATGATGATGTGATGATGACGATGATGATGATGATGATGATGATGATGTGATGATGATGACCATCATTATGGGACAATGCTGCAGTGTAGAATGACTAGTGTGACAATACTGTAACGGACCTGTAAGCATTGTAATAGGGCTGTGGCATGATCATGATGTGATAATGCTGCAGTGTAAATGTCCAGCAGTGTGATGGTGTAGAGCAAGATCAGTGTGACAATGCCTGTAGAGTTATCACAGTAATAGGACTGCAGAATTACCTACATGATATGAATTACTGTGTAGAATTACGATCGTGTCGGATGTGTAGTATGTGTTATGTGGTGACGTGTGTGTAGAAAAGCGTGACTGACAAATACGTCTGTGTGAAATGCTAAGTGCTCATATATTGCATCACGTCCTAATCCAAGAATAAGAGTACGTGCACGCCTCCACACTTGCCTTATCTAGATTGTATACGGTAACGTTCATTTTACGATTTGTTTTCAGGACAACGCTGGCAATCGATATCTCGGTGAATAGTTCACTGAACGATACCTCAAACTCTACTGACGAACTGGATGGTCAGCCATTTACGAATGCTGACAGTGCCATGAAAACTACGTTTGGTCTGTTGGCCGATGAGAACTGGTACGTTTATGTATAGATTGGTCCAGTGGCGTTTCGCAGTCTGCGTGATTTTTCCAACTTCATAATTGTGACCGTAGTAGTAGTCGTAATAACGTCACTGGTCTTCACTGTAGAGCTTATATAAGTCTCAGGCAGAGGATAACTTAAGGAGATTTTTGCACAAACAAGCATTAACAACAATGCTTGATTAAATCATTAATGATGCCATACATAACAGCCACGTTTACCCATATATGGTTTCACTTCACGAGTGTGTTTATTCGCTCCCCGTCAGTTTGTGATCGATATGTGTGCATGCTGCATGGAGGTTACACTTCAGTGTCTAATTTATTGTCATTGTCGGTGTCTAACGTAAAAACACATCGCCTTCATTCGTGAGCGTTAACACGTTTTGAACGTGGCCAGCAGTAGCTAGATTATCGTGCAACTCGTTGGTTAGTTTTGTAGCTAAATCTGCGGGGAGAGGAAGGGGTGTGTGTGTTAGCCAATCGGCACATTTGTGCATGTGACGTACGTTCTCATGTACTGTACACAGTTTGTATACCTCCTGCCCATGCAGTGTTCTCATTTGCTATACAGTTTGTTTGCCTTTGAATACCTGCTAAATGACCTAATACCTGCTAATAGTACCGGGAGTTAAAGCCACAATATGCGCATCTACACGCTAATTTCTCCAGTACTAGACTTCGTGTCATGCATAATCATACTACCTTATGACAAAATAAACTCTAGTTCCTCCCATTTCACTGCGCGTTTGCTTAAAA